GAGTTTGGTTCTCTAAAGATAACACAGAACCCAGAAAGGTTGACTGGTGTGCACAGCCTAGAACTTTGCTCTCCTGATTGACAGTGCAATGTCTATCCTACCCAAAGCTTCATGTCGGTTGCTCTTTTTCTTCTTAAGGCATACTGGGCTTAAAAGTGGGCAGTGGTATGATATCTTATAAGTAAGAAACACATGGAATCAAGCAAAACTGATTCTGAATCCCAAACCTTTCATCTACCAACTACTTGGATGTCTCTGAGCCGTAGATATCTAGGTTTCCATTCTACAAAAAAGGAAGCTAACACTGACTACCTGCAGGCTGAAGGAGATACTGTCTGTGGTATGCTCAGAACAACACTTAGTATACACTAGTTCTCAGTAAGTGTTGGCTCACTCCCTTCCTATTCTGGACATCAGACTGGCTCTGAAGACCCAGAAGAATTTCTAAAACTGGCTCTGGTCACCTCAAAACATACTTTTCTAGCACAAAAGATGAGTTTACTTGTTCAGGGTAATTTGCTGAGCCAACAAGGATCATTTTCAAATGAATTCTGATCTTTTTGTGGCTGCTTCTAACCATTTACAATTTATTTTAAATAGATACCTTTACTTCAGAAGAGTTTAATCAACTTAAAAACAAATTCAAATTCATATAAAACACTCTCATCCATTTTTAGTAAGCTTATATTTGTTCAAAATAATTTGATAGGTTTATATTAATTTAGATTAATTTAAAGGGCCAAATTAAAGTGGTTCTAAAAACTTTGGGGGGGAGGAGCAGGAGGTACCAGGGATTGAACCCAGGTGTACTTAACCACTAAACTACATCCATACTCTTTTTATTTTGAGACAGGGTTTCGCTAAGTTGCTTAGTGTCTTGCCAAGTTGCTGAGGCTGGGTCTGAACTTAGAACCTCCTGCTTCAGCTTCCAAGGTCACTGAAATTACAGGCGTGGGCCACTGTGCCTTGCAATTTGGCACAATTCTTGGTTTGCCTGTCCACGTCTTGGCATGGGCTCAAAGCCAATGCACAGCAGAGAGGGGAAATAATGAAAGTTAAAAGCAAAGACTCTAGGACCAAACTCCCTAGATTCAAATGCCATTGTATAACTTTGGAAAACTTATTTAACCTCTTTTGCCTCGGGTATCTCATCTGTAAAATGGGAGTGATATCCTATTTACTAATTATTCTTTATTAAATTCATTTTTTACATAAAAGTACACAAATTTATGGAGTAACCTGTGTTGTTTTGATACATGTATACACACTGCATAATGTTTAAACCAAGGTAAATATATCTATCTCCTCAAATATTTATCATTTCTTTCTAGTGAAAACATTTTTTAAAATCCTCTCATCTGGCTTTTTGAAATATATGGCACTTTGTTGTATCTATGTTCACTCAACTATGCAACAGCTCACCAGAACTTCCTATTCCTATCCAACTGCAACTTGATACTCATTGATCAACATCTCCCCAGCCTTTGGTAACTGCCATTCTGCTCCCAGCTTGTAGGAGACCGACCACCTTACATTCCACAGGAGTAAGATCATTGGTACTTGTCATCAGGTGCCTGGCTTAACATAACTCCTCTAATTCCATCCATGTTGTTGCAAATGACAGGATTTCACTCTTTTTTATGACTGAATAGTAATCCATTGTATGTACATGCCACATTTTCTTTATTCTCTTAATTAGAACATACATATGGATTCTTATTTTAACTTCTTTAAAACTGGGGTGCATTTTATACTTCA